TCCTCCTCCTCCACCTGCAACATCCCGAACTCCTGATCCTTACAGCCAGCCACCTGTTACTCCCGCTCCTGTCGCATCTAGCTATCCATCACCTAGGGGTTCTGAAACTCCTCGAACATCTCAGGAACAAGAAGTGGCTTTTGTACAACAACCGGAAGTCAATAGGCAATTGAGGGACTTACTGCAAAGACAACAATTTAGTAAGAAAATTGAAGGAGTAGGTGCCAATTGGGTTCAAGGTTTGTTTTATTTTGTAATTTCTGAATAATGAATATGATTATTTTATATCAAGTATTACGTATTTGCTGAAATATAAATGAATTAAAATACAATAAAAATTATATTTTCGCACTTTTTCAATTATATTCATAATTCAGATGGACAGAATAATACGGAAAACAATCAGCAACAGTTTGAAGCTAGTCATGTGCAGCTTCAGCAGCAACACTCTCAAGTACAAAACAATTCTAGTGAAGGCACTTTTAGACATCCACTTCCGCCAGGCATTGTTAGGCCCAGAATGCCTATTCAACCGAATGTCTTAATAAGAAATTCCATTGGTATGCATGTAATATTTTTATTTATTAATTTTCGATGTATAAATATTAATTTATTATATTAATTTCCTTGATTCTAGCCTCGTTATTCGTAATTTTTGAACTCTTATTTAAAAACTCATGCTCTCAAAAAATCATACCCTCGAAATTTTTTGTCTTAAAATATATTACAAAGAATCTGCTGTAAAATATTTAACAGTTTTGGGACACCCTGTGTAACAAATCTTATGTTATATAGTATTTAACTATACAATACCTGCATAAATTATAATAATTGTTGAAACATTTTCTTTAATACTTAAATATTCTTAATCTAATAAAATTAATTTATTATATTATTAACTTTTTTTTTATGTAAAATTTTCAATTTTTATATAAAATTTCTGTGTGATATATGAATTCAGGAATAAACTCGCGACACCCTGTAGCAGGAAATATTCAGAATCCGATTGATCATCGTACTAGGACATTACTGCAGAATAGGCCCCCAGTAGCTACTAATGTACCTGCTCAACAGCATTTCCAAGCAACTCAAAACCTTCAAATACGAATGCCAGCAGCGAGAAATGCCATTTCCGAATCTTATGATATTTTGCAACAACAGAGATTTACAGGTAAATTAAAAAAAAATTTTTTAGCAAAACGGTATTTCGAAAGAAATATATTTTTGAAAGAAATAATTCAGACAAAAGTTATTTGTTTTTAAAAAGATAAAAGTAATGATTTCGCAAAATTTGCTTTTTTCTATATTCTAAAAATTTAATAAATTAAAAAACAAGGTATTAATTAATGTTTAATCATTTTCAACTGTCGTATTGTAAACATTGATAGTAGAAAAGAGTTATTCATGTATGTTTTAATTGCAGACCGATATCGCAATTGCTTGGTATTATCTCCAAAAAATTTAAATATGCGTGAGCATTTATATTTTTCTATTATTTAAATTTTTATCTTTTTTTATAGCCTTTTATATAAATTATAATTTAAAATGTTAGAAAGTTCTGATGTTACACAAACATAAAAAATTGATTTTACAAAGATTTCAACAAAATGAAAAATCTTTTTTAGACGTGAATCAGACGCAAAATCAGCGTGTCGTGCGGACAGCACAGGACAATTTAAATCAAGGTATTCGTATGTTGAACACAACTCCAGGAATGGTGCGAGCACCACTCGTTCCCACGACGATGAGCGAGACCGTGGGAGTGGTTACTTCAGAAGCATCTGAGATCCCCGACAATGTAACAGCTGAATTGGAAAAGCTGGAGCAGGAAGGAGCCGGTCCAATGGTTGAAGTCGAAGGAGTCAGTGCAATATTGGGAGATCTGGCAGATGATGATGACGAACTGCTTGGTAGGTTTCTTTTTGTGTATTGCATAATAAAATTAAAGAATATGAAGGAATTTGAATTTCAATATCTAGAATTAAACAAAATTATTATATACACACACACACACACACACACACGCGCGCGAGAAAACAATTTACTCTATTTTTTAAATTGATTTATATGTATCATATAAATTATATATATATATATACATACATACATACATACATACATACATACATACGTGTGTGTGTGTGTGTGTGCGCGCGTGTGTGTGTGTGCGTGTGCGTGTGTGTGTGTGTGTGTGTTACGGGCAAAGTCCGGCCTGCTTTACAATGTAATTGCATAACTCAATCACGTTGATGTGTCCAGGTAATGTTGACCTGCACACTATGCAGACTTTGCTTGTCATAACATGCGCACACACAACACACACCCACAATAATTAATTTTGAAAGAAAGTTGGAAACAAATTTCTTATGTAAATTAATACAAAATTAAAAACTAAGAATTTATTATTCTTGAAGCTGAAATGGGAGCGGACTTTAACATACTGGAATATGCGGATCCTGAATTGGACACGATCGCAGGTGGGGAGAAGACTAATATTCTTGATTTGGATCTCGAGCAAGTTGAAGTTGATCCCAAAGACGATAAGCAAAAAAAGGAAACTAGGGACGAGGAACAGAAATCAGAATTGACTGGTCCAACCTCTGATATGACTGAATCCTGCTCGACGAGCACGAGTTTGACTCTAACAGAAAATTCCAACGTATCGACAATAACATCACCACAGGCGACATCGCAGACGACATCGCAGGCAATGCAGGCGCAAGTAGTGCAGCAACAGATGCATCAGCAAGTGCAACAAGCGGCAGCGATGGGCCGACCAATACCTCCCGGTACAAGGTTGCTTTCACCAGATGGAGCAGTTGGAGTGGTGACTTCCACCAACACGGTAACTGTGAGCTATCCATCGAATTTTTCCGGACATCCGCAGAGACTTTCGCAGGCACATATACAAGGTAAAGTTCAAAAAAATTATTTATAACATATTTTTTAAATATTAGAAAGTGGCTAAAATGTTACAAAGATTAAATGAAAAAGAGCATACAGCCACGCTACAGATGTAAAGTAGTAGATTGTAATTAAATTATTTTTTTAGAAATAATAATTATATTTATTTCTGAAAAAATAATGTAATTACAATCTACTACTTTACATCTGTAGCGTGGCTGTATGCTCTTTTTCATTTAATCTTTATAACATATTTTATTTGTTTCTTTTGTAGAGTTTAAGTATTAGATTATATTCTGTAAAAAAATTATATTTTAGTATTAAGACTTTAAATACAAAGTGGCTTCCTGGTCCGAGTGTTAAGATGTTGAACTACTATCTAATATACATTCAATTAAATTGAATTAATATTTCAGAAATAAATTGAGAGCCGATGAAATTATCGGATTCACACAATCAATCTGAAACAAATAATCCCCCCAAATTCTCCCAAATCTTAAAAAACTGTAATAAACTTATTGCGAAAAATATTGCCTCGGC